AGTCTGATGGAGGTTGTGATCCGTACGCATACAGAGCGTACACCTATCATTGTCAACTGCCAGCTAGGAAAGCGTCGCTCCACCATCACTGCTGTAAGCTAATGCCGGATGGTGCCCAGAATACGAAACTAATCCACGATTCTAGGTCATTGTGAAGCTAATTCAGAACTGGGTTCAAAGCCACTCCAAGACACCTCGAACACCGCAGACTGGATTCGAGAAATTCAAGTTTTCTACGTCAATGAGCTCAATCTCTGATCGAACGAGAGAACTGGCGACACAGCAACGCACCTCTTACCAAGTTATCAACAGTGGGTATTCTCATTCCTTGTTCCCTAAGCTCACATATACCAGATCTTCTACGGGTGGTCAGAGGAGGCCTGGACGTCAAAAAGGCGGTAGATGATGCAATCACACTATGTGCTCAGACATTTGATTTACATAAAGCCATCGAAGAGGCGAAATTAGCTGCCGACGAAGCTGTTGACGAGCGCCAGAAGAGAAGAGAAGCACAGAAGGGCCTCCAGCATCTCCAGCAGTACTTTGAATTGATAGTCTTCCAAGCTTATCTTCATTCTACGCCTGCGGATACGTGGAGGGACATAGAGACATTTGAGAACTTTGTGAACGACCGCCCGGGTGAGCACCCTATGTCACTGATGTGTATTATATTGATAAGACTATTCAAGTTTTCCGTACCTTTGAGAAGGAGCTGACAGCAGATGGTGCAAATGCATTGAAGCCCTTGGAACGAGTTGACGTCTCGGACGGTGTTGCCATGCCGGATGAAGTGGTTAGGGTTGTGGCGAACAGATCCGGAGTAGTACTCTCAGCATCCACCATCCTCAAGTCGGATTTCTTTAGTAATCTCCAGAAAATGTCACTCCCAGAGTACGTAATCCCGCTCTTCCTCCTTCATCTCAGCCGAAGCTCATTTGCTCCTTATCAAATACTGAATGTAAACTATCCCTTTTATCACCCCATAAACTCACTATCTCTTAAAAATCATATGGGTCGTATGGACGCTCAATTGAATTGGCTACGATGTGCCCTGATGGTCCGCATGGACACTTGGGGTGGTGGCTTCTTCATCATATGGTTCATCTTCGACGAACATTCACTTCGAACACATTATCTATTCAACATCCTAACTCTATCAATCCACTCTCTCGGGATTGTGATTGGCCAGGAGGATCGAAGGATCGCCAAACTTCAGGAGAGTGCCTCTAGAGCCGTGGGTTTTCCAAGTCGACAAGAAAG